CAATGACCTCAGCCAGCTGTTCGAGGATTCTTAGATGGATCCCATCAGGTCCCACGGACTTTTAGGGATCTAACTGTAGCAGCAGATCCTGCACAAGTTCAGGGACAGCTAAGTGTTGATTCCTGTTGCAGTCATGGTCCTCCAGCTTCGGGCATTGAAGCCCCCTTGGTCCCTCATCAGTATTAAAAACAGAGGCAAGAAATGCATTAAATATTTCTGCTTTGACTATATCCCTGTGAAGTGACGTATCCGCCCTTGTCCTGTAAAGGACCGATGACGTTTCTACACTGCAGTTTGCAGATTATGTATTTGAAAAAAACTCTTCATTGTCCCCCACAATTCTGGCCAGTTTCAGCTCCAGTTGAGCTCTGGCTGCTCAAATTTTCTCCCTACAAACTTCTTTCAACAACTCATCTTTACACAAATTATTAATAACTCAATTTCAGTACTAATTGGGAAAATAATTTCACATTGAAAAGTCACGCGTTCAATTTGATTTCCCCAGATTCTCCTTTAATAGTATTGCTAATGCATAATATTTTAATTTAGCCAGCTTGTAAAATAGATTGTGATGTATAGATGCATGTAGCATTTTAAGTGCTAAAAGAAAGGATGCATAAACAACTACAAATATTACCAAAAAATTAATTACATAATAAAAATAAGTAATAAGAGCACAAACTGGTTCTCCTTTATTACTGAATCTTTCATCACAAAGGGAGGGCATACTGAAGTACATATTTCTGAACTAGTTCCAGTTCCACAAACTATTTACAACTCAGTAGTTTACACTTGACCTCTATATCTTCTCAGTTCTACTTCCTTCTAGATTCTTTCTTTGACTCCACCTCTTCATCTCCTCTCAAAAAGCACAGCATACACTCTCAAGGCATGTTCCACTCCTCTTGGATAATTTGCACCTTGGATGTAAATAGGACCTCAAACTCTCCAACAATAGCTCCACAGAGCCAATCCATTCAGAAATGGTCACTTCAAAGGAAGATCGTGGGCTGTCAAATATTCTGCCCAGACAAACTTATTATACCCAAAGTCCTTTATTACTACTGCTATTCCTGATCAGATCTTACAAGCTACTTTTTCTGCTTTATTGCTGTATAAATCATCCCTGGTTTAGGCCACTAAAGTTAATATTCTGATTCGTGCATCCAGACAGCATTTCAAGTCAGGTACTTACGTGTATCACTCCTGAGGTTCCAACTTATTTGACCATATTGTTAAAAGCTATTCTCTCTTTTGTGCTTTCAATACTGCAGTCTCCTCCTCTCCATGCAGCAGATTTTATCTTTTTTTTTTTTTGTGGTTTTGTAAGGTTTGTTTTTTTAAGTAATTATGCAAGTGCACTCCTAAAAACCCTCAAAATATTAAGATAATAACTGATCCATCCAACGATCCCATGCAATCCTGCAAATTCCTGCTATTAGCTTTGTTTGACATTAGACACACAGTAGGATATTAGTATTTCAAAAACATCAATTTATTCTGTTTCTACAGAGAGATGGCTTGAGGAAATTACTTGATGTAGGTTCTACATATAAAGGTTCTTCGGAAACAGGAATGAACTCTGTAAATAGTGAACATATAAGTCTGTCTTACTGCTCGTGCCTCTTCATCATTAACACAAATCACATACACGAGGTGTAGCAGATGCTTCCTGAGGCCAATAGCCTCCCACAACACATGACTAACAGCTCAGTTAGTAATACATTCTCCCTTTCAGTTACCCTTTTATAGCCTACCTCTTCAAATCAATGTACACAATTGCAATCCTTTTTATGCTAATAATAAAGCAATAGTAGCAGGAACCAGATTTGATAGAAAGATTCACATTATGTACTAACTGTAGGGATAATATTTTTCTACATCCTTCTTTTCCTTCTTCTCTGCTGTAATATACTCTCTGGTTTTCACACTTGATAGTTTAGTTTACTTGATAAAAAAATAGAAACTGCAGTTACATACTCTGAAGTACAACACAAATCAATTATCTAAACCATGTAATTCTTTAAGTTATGCTTGTTTTGAAGTACATTATTCTACACTGAAAATTCTAAGCAAATATTAGAAAGTTAAATGAATCCTGAATGCAAAAAAAAATAAAGTGTATGAGTACCTATGACAAAAGCTCTTTTTTCCAAGTATTTGTAACAACTAGAATTAGAAAATAATATTCTATTTAAAAGTTCAAGTTTTTTCATCTTTATAAATCTCCAAAGTTTAAACATCTAATTTAACTGAGATAAGAAACCAAAGAATAAGGAAAATACCTAACCTGTTCATGCTCCAACTAGAGCCCCTTCACCTTCCTTAGACAACCTCCACAAATCCCTCATGTGTTTCAATGACTAATAAATCCCGTGATAAAAAATTCAGATCAAGTTTCCCCACATCAACTTCATCAAGGTCAAGTACAAGCTTCTTTCTAGGCCACACAAGGTAATCAGGCAATTTTTGAGAAAAAGTTTATTTTAAGAGTTCAAATTATCTTACATTCTCGAAAAACTCCCTTCTCTACAGAACAATTTTATGTGAGACTTCATTTTACAGAGGAAAAACAAACTACAATATAAAACAGGGCATGACGAACATTAGGAAAAATAAAAGTATGCAGACAAAATGTCTGGAATTACTGCTGGGAGTTCTCAACTGGATTAGCAAATTAAAATAGTTAAATAGTTCAACTTCTTTAGCTCTTGTTACCTTCCCCTCTCAAAATAACTTATTTACAAGAACTTCCTTCCTTGGTGTAAATATACACTTGTACTTTGTACCACTGTTTCAGAGCAGAAAGTTATGGTCCTTTCTTACATTTTTCCTGCCAAATAAAAAGCCAATTAATATCTAATCAACGTATTTTACGTACTGTTCTTCCAGGAGTCTTGCAAGCAAAAACGCTGCAGCATGAAACAGGAACTCCATTATCCTCCTGTTAAGTGAAACACCTCTACTTCATGTAAGATTAACTTCTAAAGAACTTTGTTTTTTGTTATTCTCAGCACCCATTCTTAACCAAAAGAAGCAGCACTACTGCCTGTGTCAGAACAAAAAAAAAAAAAAATACTGTGATAGAGGGGAAAAAAAAAATAATCTTGTTTTGAAATAGTATACATTAGGACATATTTCATATATATTCTGATGTACCCTAGGTAATTACATAACTATGTTAAAGGGTCAGCTCTTTTAAGATTACTTCAGCAAGAGCACTACATCAAAAACATACAGATTACAAGTTGAACTTGCAACTGCATTTCTCAATTTCAGGTTTGCTTTTTATGTCTTATAAGAAAGCACTCTATGCAAACACATTCACCACTGATTTGCATGGAAACTATGTAGAAAAAAGCTAATTTTGAGGGAGTTTTTTATATATTTCTCAAATAATTAAAAATGAGCTAGTAAAGAAAAGGTCTGAATTCAGTCATTCTGTACACAGTGAGTAGTTTAAATATATACTTTCACTCATTTCTCATTACCCCAACTATAACAGCACCCATCATAAACTGTTCTAATTTTAGTAATATTAACAGGTTTTAAGAATAGCTTCTGTAGCTTGGTTTAATCACCACAGTCTTCTGGAACAGGAAGGAACTTAAGGCCAGATATAAAGATGTTCCACCGGAAACAGATTTTTTTGAATATTAAGTAGTTTCTAGTGTATAAATATTTTTGTATTTTAGCTTTCTGGAATTTCATGTATAATAAATACAGCACAAGTGAAGAGAATTGCACAGTGTTGAGAAGCTCCTCAAGAAGCTCACACTCCCATCACTATTATTGCAGTGGATCATCCCTGCCCCAATCATTAGCAAGAATAATTAAACATAGAAGTAGACTAATGCTCAAACTACCTTGACATGACACTAAGATACAGAGCAGATTTTTTTTTTATCCAAAGTTAAAAGATACGTTATTTTATTCTGGACCATTCTCTCCATTGTACTGTATTCCTTCAGAATACTCTTATCAACCAAGCATCAATCACGGTTGATGGTGATTTGTAGACAGTCACGCAGAAAAGTAAGCAGCATCACACGAAACTTGACAATGGTAATGCACAACTTAACTCATTTAGGGAGAGCAATCTTCCCTGAAAGGTTACCAAAAAGGGAAATCAGGACAAGATTCTTCTCCCACTCGCCTCCAGTGAGAATGAGCTTCAAAACCTCATGGCAATATCCTCATTTTTAGGAGACAGGACATGATGGAACACCTTCACTCCCCTTTCTTTCTCAAGCTTTTACCTGACAGCTGCCAGAAACCAAAAGCAGCAAGAACAATGAAACTACATGGATATTTCCGTTCTTACTCAGTAATTTTGAGAACCCTGATGATATAAATTTGATTAAGTGCAACGGGAAGTCCTCTGACAGGACCATCAGAAGCCTACCCACCAAACTCATTTGAGCACAACTACAAAAAGCTTCACACAGGTCTGAATAACCTTCCTTAGTCCAACAGGACTTGATCTACCACTAACCTACCACAAGAGGTGGTTTCTACTTGCCCATAGAACATAAGCAAAAACACCTAAGGAAGCTTGCTAGACTGTTGTTATAACAGGTGTTGTTTTGTACCATCAAGTGACTGGAACAGATCTAAGCTAAACTGGAGAGCCTGGCAATGCCTTAAGCAAGAAAACCTTGGAGCAAAGTAAAATCTGGTGGCAGATCATGTCAACTCTTAGTTATCTCACTGCAAGCTAAATCAACACCATTTGCCCACCTCTTAAGACTAATCACAAAAATAACAGCTTTTGTACATAGTCATATAAAACTTTCTTTTAGGCTAGGACAAGGGACAGTAGTACTCCTTTTCAAACAATTCTAGGAATTAGATTTCCCTTCTGCATTTTGCTGTTGGAATGGCTGAACTAGAAACAGTACAACTACTGAAGTGGTAGAACATAAGACAGCAGCTATATAAAACAGGGAGGTAGAAAGACAGACATCATGTATGCACAAATGAAGGCTTTTTACTCCTACCTCATCACTTTCATCTACTTCAATCCCACCATCTTTGTCATCATCCATTTGCTTATGGATCATGCGAAGAGCTTCTAGGCTGAATCGGTCCTCCTCAGTAAAGCATGGTGGGCTGAGTGAACTGCAGGGATCTAGAGTGTGGGGGGAAAAACAGAACAAACATTAGCTACTGTCACTCTAGAATATAAACCTCTCAAGCAAGAGAAAGGGTTTAAATCTCTGTATGTGTACAGGTACTTCACTGCACGTATCCACCAGGTCATAGATGTCAAATTTAGCTGTAAAATAATAATTCTTATTTAAAAAAAAAAAAAAAAAAAGGAGGGGGGGCATTGGTGGGGACATGAGCTCTTTTTTTGTATCCAGGAAGAAGCCCAAAGAATAGGTTGGAATAGTTTGACTCTTGAATTTTTAATTCCACCCCTGTAACTGCTATCTCTATTTTGGACTAGATGACCTTTCGAGGTCCTTTCCAACCCCTAGGATTCTATGATTCTATGATCTCCACCCCTTCTACCTACTCTCCACCCTTAGTAATATAATCACTGCAATAGCAAATAAACCCACTGCATTTTCCAGCTTCCTTTCTGAAAGCCTGGGCTGAACACAAGAGTGGTAAAGGAAGAGAAAAATAATTATGTCCTACGCTTGTAGCTTCATAAACAGATAACAAAGGGATAGTAACCACAATCCAGAACAAATTCAAAAGTACACAGTACTACTGAATGCAAAACAGTCAAGGAGAACTGCAATAGAAGAAAACACACGGCAAAAAAAGTTCAACTGATGATAATACATAATATCTCAGTTGCATATGCTCTGATCAAAAACAGCAGAGTCAATGTAGAGCAGGTTTCTAGGGCAAAAATAGTACATTTCCATTTGCATTCATTACTGAAGGCTTGTGATTTGTGCACTCTGCTTCCACCATGTCAGACTGTTACATCTCTGTTCTTTTCCTTCCACAAGACACATGCCAGTTTCTAGAATACATGATGATTAAACATCTTTAAAGACTGGTCTTTCACAGACCTTGGTATTAACTAGTGAATTAATTAATTCTGATGTACTGAACACCGTAAAAGAACAGAAGGTGCAGAAGGATACAGAAATTTTTTGAAAGTTAGCTTTCATAAGATAGTGAATTCCCACTGTAGCAGCCATTATAAAAATGCACTGATTAATCCCAAAAACCAGTACACTCCACTTAAATCATACACATGCAAATAAAAATGGAGGCAGCATGTGAGTAAATTTTGCTTCTTCTAGTGTACCAAAGGATTAAGCTTTCATCTTACTACAGATTTTATTAAAGGCTCATTTACATAAGTAATGAAAAGGAAGCACATGCAGATAGATTCAAGTGTTTGCACAGAAAAATAAATGTATCTTATTAGTTTTTCCATACCAATCAGGTTGGCATGGTTCTGCTTTTCTGATTATTATACATTTTAAAATAATGAAAAAATAACAGATGCTGGTAACATTTGGCTTGTGTAGGACTACAAATAGAAGTACAAAGGTAGCAAGCACAGCATAGCCAGAATCTCAGAAACATATTAACAGGACTGATCCCTACAGCTAGACATGAGTCAATGCATTCTTTCTCTATAACTAGTTTTATTACACACAAGTTAACAGTTACCTGTTATCTGTGACCACTATCAATTAAGACAAACAAACAAAAAAAACAGACAACAGAAATCACCACAAAAACCCAACAGAAAGAGGCTAATTTTAGAACTACTTCATATTAAATCAGACAGACAAATTCCTAAACATTAAACCAGGCCAACCACAAACAATGTTCAGCTCTGGGATACAACTAATAATTTTTTGGGGAAAAAGTTAAACTGAGTAATTTATTTACATGAAAAAAATAATTTTAGCCAACCATCTTTGTGTGATTGGAAAAGGTTTGGTTGGCACTATCCACTCCCTTGGATTTTTGCCTTGCAATTAAATAATTACTATAATTGGGGAGGTTAAAGGATTTATCCCTGTAGTACAGTGTTTGGTCTAGAAAGGCTTCCCTTGCAATAGTAATGAAATCACCTCCAAGTTCTGCTAAGAATTATATTCCAACAACCATGAACAAAGACTATGACACTACTTAATATAATCATATATCAGAACTATCTTTGTGCAGCACGATTAGATTTAGACTACGTTTTAGGATAGAATCAAGCATAATTGTCAGAACAGATAAACAGGTCCCTCAAACACAGCCTACTTGTTTAATTTCTACTTAGCTCTATTCTTACATAAAAGAAAATGTCAGCTAAATAGTGTTCACAGTTTGCAAGCATCCACTCAAATGTTTTTTCCATTTTGTTCAATGGAAAGCCAAATTTTTCAGATCAAAAAGGTTTTCAGAGAGTACATTTTCTCAAAACTGAGGTTGATCTGTTCCTTAATCAGAGCATTTCTTTATCTCAAATACGGCTTTTTTTTGTTATTTTAAGCATGAAGGTACTTTAAAGAGCTATGGCTCTTCTTGAGAGAAGTAAACAGGCTGCTTGTGCTTCAACTGTCCCATTCACTGCTCCAGGAACATTTAATCTCTCTTAAAAGACAACAGAGTTCCAATTCCTCCTTTTGGGAAACAGAAACATGAAGCAGGGCCACATCTCAACTGTAATAAAAATTAAACCACTCTAAACAGAATCCGTATTTACCTTCAAGCTTATTTTCATACAGAGACATTTAACATTCCCAGACTGACAATACTTGTCATCCACCTCTCCAGAGAACAAGCTCAAAATAAAAAGCAAATTACAAAGCTACAAACAAAAAATAAGTGAAAAGCATTTCACAAGCACATCTATGAAGACCTACCAAAGAAAAGAAAAAAAAACAACCTCACCTGTATGGCAGAAACAATTAAAATTAATACTATATTAAGTGTTGTTCTCAAGCATCCAGTTAATTAACATAAAAACCAAGAGGAAAAGTCTCAAGATACAGCAGGTGCCATACAGACCTGAGGCCTCATAACAAATTGTAATATTAGTTGATAGCTTATTTTTCACCTTGAATCCACACTCTTGAAGGTGTTCTTCGATTCCAAACCTTCTATTGCTCTTTAAGGTCTATTCTGGACCAGTTTATTTGTCCTAGTCTGGTATGTTATAATAAATACACTTAGTCCACAATCGCCATCCCAGCACAGAGAAGATACCAAGAAGCTCAATCAGGGAGTGAACATGATAGCTCAGAATTAGACCCTTCCTGTAACAAACAGCACACAAGAATTATCAAAGCATACAAAAATGATACAATTGGTGCACAAGTGGCATACAAGCACACCATACATCACTCCAGGCAGGAGTTGCTTTATAGACCAGTTTTTAGTGTTGCTCAAAAGTTAGGAAGTTTCAGCATTTCTGTTCACTAGGGGAATTTGTTACTAAAAATTAAATGTCAAATATAAAGCTCAACAAACTTGGCAGAGGACTTTGAACCAAGCCTTCCTCCTGCCTTAAGTAGCTCAATAACTGCCTCCCAGCTCTGAGGCAAGAGGATAAAGTAGTCTTCACCAGAAGATGCCATGGGTACAGACCAGTTGTACAGGAGACAGTTTGATAATGAATCAAGTACAGAGTTATCCAACCATATTTACAGGAAACTTACGTATTTACAGATAAGGGGGAAACTAACACTTGGCATTTCTTTCCTTTTTTTTTTTTCCTTCCCTCTTCTCTCTTTTTCAGTGCGGCTAAAATAAGGCAAAACTCGAAGAAAAGCTTCAGTGCGAACTTTTACTAAACTTCCAGAATCACGGCTTTTTCACCCCATTTCCTGGAGGCAAAAGAAGCTGAACTTACTAAGTGACACTGTCAAGACAAGCCAGTAAGGAAAATTAGTTACACCCCTACCTTCAAGCACTCATGTCAGCAAAGCCTTTGACATTTATTTTAGGAATACACTGTAAGAAATCATCACAAAGCAGAAGTGTATATCCACCTCACAGTCTTACCTGTCCTGCATTTACTTTTCCCTGAACTGTTGTGAGCGTAACAGACATCAGAATGGAAAAGACTGAAACCAACAAATAGCTAATAATCCTGCACTTCTCACATACACACAGCCTTCTGCATATGGACACTGGAGCATGGAAGTTAAGCCTGTGACAGAGGGACCCTAGCCAGGCATCTGCTATTCCAATGTGCCCTCTGAGACACCTGAGCCCAAAAGTCTTTTTAGTGCCTCAAAGAGCCTTTTTAAGAACACAGGGACAAAACAAAACCTTCATGATTTTCGGAAGTACCTGGAACTAGATACACACCTCTAAATTTAAATGTCTTGAAATTTCCTCATTAATTCACTCAGAAAAACTTGGCAGTTGAAAGTTACTTGAAAAGATTGGCCACCACGTACAATTTTTTTCTGTGAGGATGCTAAGCATTCACCAAGAAGGAAGAGCACTTTTCTATACTAACATATGGCAGTCCTATGGAAGCCTGCAGTGTTTCCGTGGTTGCCTTTTTCTGATGAATTCTGGAGTGTACCACATTCAGTTAGTTTTAGGATTACTCGTTCCTAAGAAGCCATCTGGTATAAAGGGAAGCCTCACAGAAAAGGCAAGCACTGCACTCAAGTGTCAGCTTCCCAAGTACATATACTCAGCCCAAAATAACTGTTTCAGCAAGGCATGATGACAGAAGTAGAATTTCTTTGCATTTTCCAGAGCCAAAGCAGGTGGTCACAATATCTCCAACCCCCCACTAAATCCATCTTCACATAACTAGGATTTCTACTCCTTGCACTTCTGTGATTCAGTTTTACACTGTACTTAAATACATTAGTTTCTTCAGAAATTAAACAACTCCTCTCAAGGCAAAAAAACCTGGAAGAGAACAACAACTTTTAAATACCTGAGTACAAACCTGAGTATCAGGTACAGCACAGATTATTGAAATTACTGAAAAGTACATGTTTTCAAGAATTTCACCAGATGTTCATGATACCTATTCACAGTCAAGGCAACAAACATGTTGCTTTTATCTTCAATCCTTACATAAGGTGTCACTAAAATCTTCAAATGCTTGAAAAGATATCCTCAGAGTTAGTTTCATTTAATCTTTCAATTAAAAGCTCCCAAAGCAAATCACTCCCACTCTTAA